GAATGATTAAAATGATTTACTGTGTAAGGAACCTCTCGTATGAAGATAGACTTAAAGCCTTAAATCTCCACTCTCTGGAGAGGCGTAGAATGAGGAGATATCACTGAAGTGTACAAGTGTAATAAAGTTGGTAGAATTACCGACAATATGCAAAGTAAAAGGACACAAGTGCAACTAATGACATTTTGAAGAATTGAGACACTTATGCAACACATGGGAATCTTTATTGAAGAAACGTTTCGCCACACACTGACTTCATCAGTCCAATACAAAGTAGAAATGGGTAAGGAGAGTAGAAGTTTGAGGTAATCAGTCCCTCAACCTGGAATCGATGTGTTCAGTCCATCACTCTTGTAGGAACACATCGATTCCAGGTTGAGGGACTGATTACCTCAAACTTCTACTCTCCTTACCCATTTCTACTTTGTATTGGACTGATGAAGCCAGTGTGTGGCGAAACGTTTCTTCAATAAAGATTCCCATGTGTTGCACAAGTGTCTCAATTCTTCAACTTGTCGGTTTTCTAAACCATTCATCACTAATGACATTTTATTGTGGCAACGTTTCGCTCTCCAGGAGCTTTGTCAAGCCGATACGGTATCAAAGCTCCTGGAGAGCGAAACGTTGCCACAATAAAATGTGTAATTAGTTGCACTTGTGTCCTTTTACTTTACAAGGGAGATGGTAGCGAGGGAAATTTAATTGTTAAGTCTGTAGGAAACTTGGACCTGCCTCGCATGGGCCAGTAAGCCTGCTGCAGTGTTCCTTTATGAACATCAAAATGTAAAGTAAAAGGACACAAGTGCAACTAATGTGACATTTATTGTGGCAACGTTTCGCTCTCCAGGAGCTTTATCAAGCCATTACAAACAATACATGGACACAGAGGGTATATAAAGGCTCAGAGTGAGGTGAATACTAGTGAGGTACCATTTCGATGTTCACTAGTGGTAGTGGTAGTAGTAGTAGTAGTAGTAGTGGTAGTGACAAAAGCAATTAATTCGTACATGAGTAAAAGGATATAAAAGCTATTACTTGTACGAATTAATTGCTTTTGTCACTACCACTACTACTACTACTACTACTACTACTACCACCACCACCACCACTAGTGAACATCGAAATGGTACCTCACTAGTATTCACCTCACTCTGAGCCTTTATATACCCTCTGTGTCCATGTATTGTTTGTAATGGCTTGATAAAGCTCCTGGAGAGCGAAACGTTGCCACAATAAATGTCACATTAGTTGCACTTGTGTCCTTTTACTTTACATATTGTCGGTAATTCTACCAACTTTATTACAACATCAAAATGGTATACAATACCGACAGGTTGTTAGGTAAGACACATGCAACAGTTAGACAACTTTATTCCGAAACGTTTCGCCTACACAGTAGGCTTCTTCAGTCGAATACAGAAAATAGGCAGGAACAGTAGAGATGTGAAGACGATGTAATCAGTCCATCACCCTTGTAGTCGTAGAATTTGAGGTTGTCAGTCCCTCGGCCTGGAGAAGTTCAGTTCCATAGTCAGGAACTATCTGATATAGTTCCTGACTATGGAACTGAACTTCTCCAGGCTGAGGGACTGACAACCTCAAATTCTACGACTACAAGGGTGATGGACTGATTACATCGTCTTCACATCTCTACTGTTCCTGCCTATTTTCTGTATTCGACTGAAGAAGCCTACTGTGTAGGCGAAACGTTTCGGAATAAAGTTGTCTAACTGTTGCATATGTGTCTTACCTAACAGTGTTCCTTTATGTTCTTATCTTTGAGAACCCAGTCTGACCTCATCCGCTCGTCTCTAGGCCTATCGAGAAGAGGAATACATCGGCGCATGCGCAGGACGCAGCGAGGCTGGCAGGTAGCCAGACTAAATATATTAGGAATATACATTACTCAAGTATTACACCGTTAACACTAACGTCAACATGCAACCATCACGTGATAAATGGTTTTGAGAACTGACAAGTATACAAGCCGGGGCCCAAGACTGTTCAACTGCCTCCCAGCATACATAAGGGGGATTACCAATAGACCCCTGACTGTCTTCAAGAAGGCACTGGACAGGCATCTAAAGTTAGTACCTGACCAACCGGGCTGTGGTTCGTACGTCAGCTTACGTGCTGCCAGCAGTAAAACCCTGGTTGATCAGACCCTAATCCACCATGAGGCCTGGTCTCAGACCGAGCCGCGGGGGGCGTTGACCCCGAAACCCTCTCCAGGTAAACTATACAAGCCACTTCTCCAGTCATATGCTGCACTTTGTACTGGATTAATAAAGCCACTATGGCGACACGTTTCCTTAATTAAAAATTACCGTATGTTGCACAAGTCTCAACCTTCAACATGCAACTATCATATATACTAGTGTTGTCACCACCATTCGGTGTTGCCGAAATTTATAGTATAGTGCACATTGTTCCGACAATGCAACCGATTCATTATGAAAATGACTAAACTTATAAATACCATAGTTAGTCAGATTAGTTTAAGAATGGGACTAAATATCTGGGAATCTTTATCGAGGAAACGTTTTGCCAGCCACTGACTACTTCAGTCCAATGCAGAACGGTGGAAGAGCGAGGTAATCAGTCCCTCAGCCTGGAGTCTGTGCGCTCAGTGCTGTCCTGAAGACTGATGGACTAACACCGACTCCAGGTCGAGGGACTGATTACCTCCGAACTCAGTCTTCCACCGTTCTCTGTACCGGACTGAAGGAGCCACTGACTGGCGAAATGTACCCTCGAAGATTACCAAATGCTCCACAAGTGTAAGTCTTCAATTTATCGGTCTCTTAAAACCATTTACATCTGTTAGCCTACATAACATGCCTACTTGCCCATCCACTACACTAGTGTATGTACAAGAATGGTATATAATACCGACAAGATGAAATTAAGACACTTGTGCAACATCTGGGTATCTTTATTGTATACATTTCGCCATCCAGTGGCTGGACAGATACCTATAGTCAGTGCCGGATCAGCCGGGCTGTGGCTCGTACGTTGGACTGCGTGCGGCCAGCAGTAACAGCCTAATTGATCAGGCCCTGATCCATCGGGAGGCCTGGTCATGGACAGGGCCGCGGGGGCGTTGATCCCCGGAATAACCTCCAGGTAACCAGGACATAACTTGAAGACAGTAGGACTATATACAGAAGATGAAGTAATCAGTCCCTCAACCTTTGAGTAAGTTAAGACACTTGTGCAACATCTGGTTATCTTGTGCAAGAAAGGTACAAAATACCGACAATATGAAAGTTAAGACATGTGCAACATCTGGATATCTTTATTGTAGACGTTACGTCTACTACAATAAAGATATCCAGATGTTGCACGTGTGTTAACTTTCATATTGTCGGTATTTTGTACCTTTCTTGCACAACTTGTCTGACACTGCAACATCATGGAATCTTGGTTCAGAGGACATCTACAAGACCTTCACGGCTGCTGCAACTAACCCATCTCTTTGGGAAGGACCTACTTCCACTGGGGAATCCCGCCTACCAGTGACTTTGCCCTCGTCTGCTGCCCGTCCCTATCCACTGACGCCTATATAAACCGCCAGTCTTCTTGTCTTTGCTCCAGATTCTCCTCCACCACGATGCTGTGAACACTAACTCCAAGGCCGAGGGACTGATTACCTCATCTTTTGTATATAGTTCTACTGTCTTCCTATTATGTCCTAGAATCTGTATTGATAAAGCCATTGGATGTCGAAACGTCTACTACAATAAAGATATCCAGATGTTGCACATGTGTCTTAACTTTCATCTGGTTATCTTTATTGTAAACGTTTCGCCATCCAGTGGCTTTATCAATACAAATTCTTGGACATAATTAGAAAACAGAAGAACTATATACAAAAGATGAGGTAATCAGTCCCTCAGCCTTGGAGGTGGTGTTTACAACACCGTGGTTGTAGTGATTCTGAAATTGTAGAGATTCTGAATCTCTACAACCACGGTGTTGTAAACACCACCTCCAAGGCTGAGGGACTGATTACCTCATCTTTTGTATATAGTTCTGTTTTCTAATTATGTCCAAGAATTTGTATTGATAAAGCCACTGGATGGCGAAACGTTTACAATAAAGATAACCAGATGTTGCACAAGTGTCTTAACTTTCATCTTGTCGGTATTGTATACCTGTCTTGTTAGGTAAGACACATATGCAACAGTTAGGTATCTTTATTGTGAAACGTTTCGCCTACACAGTAGGCTTCTTCAGTCAAGTACAGAAAAGTTGATAGAAGCAGAAGATACTTGAAGACGATGTAATCAGTCCATCACCCTTAAAGTTTTGAGGTGGTCAGTCCCTCAGTCTGGAGAAGAGCATTGTTCCATAGTATGAAACAATATGGAGAAGAAGTGACAGGATGGAGGTTTTTATAGCCCCAAGAGGTGAGACGTAGGCCACTAGGAGAGGTAAGAACTCAGATGTTGAGAAGGCAGGTCCCTCTCAAATCCAGCCTCTCTCACTGGTGGAAGTTGTCGAAGTTGATTGCAGTCAATCTGCAGTTGATCTGCAATCAACTTCGACAACTTCCACCAGTGAGAGAGGCTGGATTTGAGAGGGACCTGCCTTCTCAACATCTGAGTTCTTACCTCTCCTAGTGGCCTACGTCTCACCTCTTGAGGCTATAAAAACCTCCATCCTGTCACTTCTTCTCCATATTGTTTCATACTATGGAACAATGCTCTTCTCCAGACTGAGGGACTGACCACCTCAAAACTTTAAGGGTGATGGACTGATTACATCGTCTTCAAGTATCTTCTGCTTCTATCAACTTTTCTGTACTTGACTGAAGAAGCCTACTGTGTAGGCGAAACGTTTCACAATAAAGATACCTAACTGTTGCATATGTGTCTTACCTAACAACCTGTCGGTATTTTATACCATTTTAATGTTCATACCTGTCTTGCACAACCTTTGAGTAGGTGCGAAGAGCACCGTAGTAAAATACACTAGAGTATTTTTCCAAGACTTACCATCAGCGTCCACTTCGTTGATCATGTCCTGCAGCTCAGCCTCGGTAGGATTCTGACCGAGCGACCTCATGACTGTACCCAACTCCTTGGTTGTGATTGTGCCGTCACCGTCCTTATCGAAGAGGGAGAATGCCTCCTTGAATTCGGCAATCTGTTCCTCGGTAAGCTGATCCGCCTGGAGAAAAAGCATAAATTACAAAACACGAACTCGTGAAGTCTTAATTGCAAACAAACCGGGGAACGGGAGGAGTCAGATCATGGAGAGTCCTAGAACTCCAGGCTTGGAGTTTCAAGACTCTCCACAAGATGAACACTGCAGCAGACCTACTGGCCCATGCGAGGCAGGTCCAAGTCCCCTACCGGCTTAAGCGAGTGACCCAACCTAGTCAGGACAGGTCACATTCACTTAAGGAGCACGGCATCAGACCTAGCAGCACAAGCTAGTCAGGTTCAACTCTCACCCACTCATGTATTTAACCTATTTTTAAAACTACACAACGCTTTGGCTTCTATACGGTACTCTGGAGTTTCACTCATCCACAACTATTACCAAACCAGTGCTTTCCTATATCCTTACTGAATCTGAATTTTTCCAACTTGAAACCATTGCTGCGAATCCTGTCTAGGCTAGATATTTTTAGCGTGATATTTATATCCCTTTTATTTATGCCCGTTTCCCCATTTATACACCCCAATCATATCCCCCTAATTCTATGCCTTTCTGGATAGTGCAGATTTAGGGTCCTAACCCTATCTTAATAGGGAAGATTTCAATGGTTTTAGAAATATTGAGTTCTGCATATTGTACGGCAGAAATAAAAAAAATCTATTAATATTCAAAATTATTTAAATAAACATGGCGGCTCAAATTTGTTATATTTTAAAGCAGGCTGAATTAATTCTCCAAAATATTAACGTTAATTTAAAAGCTGTTATTTCAGGTTATCTAACAGTCCACAGGATTACACAGCTGGTGCACTTTCATGCCTAAGACCATAAGAAATGAGGAACACTGCAATAGGCCTGTTGGCCCATACTAGGCAGGTCCTTCACAAATCCAACCTTTTACTATTACACAGCTGGTGGAATTTCATGCCTCAACTTTACAAACTCTTAAAACCGAAGCAATACTTCATCTACTAAAAGTAAGCGAGGTAATAACGGACGGAAAAAAAAAATCCCGGATGAACGAGTATTTTTAATATGATACACGAGCAGTATGGTGATACCCTATTCTATGATAGTTACATAGTAAATAAAACACTCGTGCAGTATAAAAAATGTAGTTTACATGTAATGTAAGAAACAAAAACCACTAGGCATGCATATGCATTAGTAGTTAACCCTGCTATATATCACGTAGCAAACACCCAAGATAAGGAGTAATCTAGATGAATAGCACCTTGGCTGTGTAAATCCTCTAGCGCTCTTGGTGTGTATATATATAGTCAACTGGTAGGGATAAAACCACGAATACCACATCAGGATAGGGAGAAGTTCGTTGCAGGTTGGGAAGGGGGTGGGAGGATGGGACGAGGCTCGGGTAGTCTTGTGGGGGGATGGGGAGAAAGAGGGGGTAGATAAAAGGTTGGGGGGAGGATGGGAATGGGGGGGGGGGGCAGTCGATAAACTCCGCCACAGCTGGCAACAGCAGCTTACACCAGGGACTGCTAGCAACCGTTCGACTTTAAACGGTCCACCAGTTGCTCGACCAGGACCCCTCCATCTAGGATCAATCCTACACGCAAATAGGGTTTGGAGAAGGTATAAAGGGGATTCTTTCCAAAGGAAAACTTAAGTCTGCAAGGGTCAGAGCGCCTGTGGAATGCAGCCAGGTTTGATCCAAGAAAGAAGTATGGATCGCAAGTTTGAGAAATGGCCGTTCGGCGGCCTTTGCCGAAAGCCATACACCACGTGTTCTATATACCGGGAAAAATTATACATCAAAACCAGTGTACCACCTGCAGCAACAGCCTGTTGACCAGGTCAACACCAGGAGCCTGGTGGATCAGGCTCCAGTAGAAAATCTTAAAAGGTACATGGTACTTCAGGAACAGTCATCCAGAGATTTGCTTCTCGTGAACTTAGAGTACCTTACTCGATTTTAAAGGATTACTGACTAGTTTGCAGGCGATATGTAGCCTTAATGACTGACATTTAAACTTTCCACAACCATTACCTATTACTTTAAATCCTACAAAAACTAGGATCAATGTCAACTGAATACACAGTAATACACCCGTGTACATGTTCTGCTTACTCAGGTTTGCACATTTCATACTCTCATCCACAGCCTGGCACCGAACTAAATGCGCAGAATATTTTAAAGGAAAATGCTGCAACTTTTGCGAAATCTGCTGGCATCTAACCCCTCTCCTTCCACCGGGGATGTCATCCAGAGATGGTAAGTCTAGTAACAGCAACTTGCTGGTCTAGTAATAGCACGTAGTTGTGATGGAGCAATTCCCTGGAAGCAGCTGTAGCTACTATGTTATGCTTGTCATTACCTACCAAGTTTCCCCAGCTGAAGTCGACAGATTTAAGGAACAAGGCGTGAAACTCCTAGCTTCTGCCCCCGCCATTAGATTAGTATAGCAGCATTGTCTATCTAACAAACAAGGGCAACGTGTGCCCTATCTGATAACAGCAACAGTGTGTCACTACCCATTAGATATAAATCCACCTCGACTGGAAGGATACCGCACGATTATACAATTTAAACCAGAATAGAATCTAACGCTCATTAAAGTCTTAGGACAAAGGAAGCGTTTGTGGAAGCCAACTTCAGCAGACAGCCAGGGCCATTCATTGATCGTCGCCACGGCTGCCGCCACCCACCCAGCGAGGGGAAAAAGGGGAGGTGGGTTAATAAAATTCTTTCATTGTCTGACATGCGCACGAACACTGCTGATATTATCTTTGCCCAGGAATCAAGATTGGTCTATTAAGACTGAAAATAATCCACCTGACGCGGGAATCTTACGACCCGACCAGTTTAGTGGTGCCGGCAGTGTGGCGCGGCCACGCAAAATGGGTGGTGGTTCAATATGCACGTGAAGGTGGGGTGGCCGTTAGCACGAAAGTGTGGGAGCGGCAGCAGCAGTAACTGCTAGCTTACCGGACGGACGCCTCGAGTCAAATTCAGTACAAGTAAAAACTTAATATATTATCACACTGGCCGATTCCCACCAAGGCAGGGTGGCCCGAAAAAAAAAACTTTCACCATCATTCACACCATCACTGTCTTGCCAGAAGGGTGCTTTACACTATAGTTTTTAAACTGCAAAATTAACACCCCTCCTTCAGAGTGCAGGCACTGTACTTCCCATCTCCAGGACTCAAGTCCGGCCTGCCGGTTTCCCTGAACCCCTTCATAAATGTTACTTGCTCACACTCCAACAACACGTCAAGTATTAAAAACCATTTGTCTCCATTCACTCCTATCAAACACGCTCACGCATGCCTGCTGGAAGTCCAAGCCCCTCGCACACAAAACCTCCTTTACCCCCTCCCTCCAACCTTTCCTATGCCGACCCCTACCCCGCCTTCCTTCCACTACAGACTGATACACTCTTGAAGTCATTCTGTTTCGCTCCATTCTCTCTACATGTCCGAACCACCTCAACAACCCTTCCTCAGCCCTCTGGACAACAGTTTTGGTAATCCCGCACCTAACTTCCAAACTACGAATTCTCTGCATTATATTCACACCACACATTGCTCTCAGACATGACATCTCCACTGCCTCCAGCCTTCTCCTCGCTGCAACATTCATCACCCATGCTTCACACCCATATAAGAGCGTTGGTAAAACTATACTCTCATACATTCCCCTCTTTGCCTCCAAGGACAAAGTTCTTTGCCTCCAAGGACAAAGTTCTTTGCCTCCAAGGACAAAGTTCTTTGCCTCCAAGGACAAAGTTCTTTGCCTCCAAGGACAAAGTTCTTTGCCTCCAAGGACAAAGTTCTTTGCCTCCAAGGACAAAGTTCTTTGCCTCCAAGGACAAAGAAGAAAGTAAAAACCGTCTCCTTAAAATATTACCGGACTACTTACGGAGGCAGTCACTTAATCTGGTAACTATTACCAACAATTAATCTTACAGCCATACAGCAACTTAACCAGCCCTAAGAAATGTGCCATAATCATAGTAACTGGCATGACTAATACCAGTTATAAAGATACAATACCTGCAATAAACAGCCAACAAATATCTAGTCACATGGTAAACTACAAGCAGCCATATGGCAACCAATGTCTGCCGTACCTCTGACCTACTTTGGTTCCCCCTTAGTGTCGAGGCCCGACCTCCATATTCCATAAGCACCAGTAAAGCAACTTGCACAAACCTGCCAAAACCATATTGTAACTAACAGGTAAACAGAAATGTCTATGGGGCACCGCACACGGTCTCGTCCTTCACAAAAATTCAATTCCCCCCCCCCCTTTTATAACATTTGCCATACACTGAAGGGGCCCAGCGTGGAATTCAAGAACAAAAGCATGCAGTTATCCTGGGAAAACTCATCTCGTTGCTTACATCAAATGGAGAAGCCTCGTGTTGCATCTTGTACACAATTCTTTACGAGGGATGAACAGACAAGCCAGCGGAAGGCATCTGCATTTAATCAAAGCTTTCACTGATCCTATTACACAAGTCCATTAAGAGGACAAATTTCCCATTTTTTTCGACAAAATGCCACTACCCAAGCTCCCTGGAATGTGGCAACGTCGCCTTAGTAAACAATTTGGTTAGCTGAACAAGTAAACATCTTGCCACAGCATCCAACGCACACGAATTTCATCACTGGTGCTTCCACAAACTGATTCATGAGGTAATTGGTAGAGTTAATACATTTGGAGGCATAAGAGTATGAACCATGTAGATGACTGGTTCAGAGAACCTACAAGTTGATAAATTAGACATTGTGCAACACTTGGGTATCTATCAAGAAGGGACTGACCACACTGACTCAAGGCCGAGGGACTGACCACACTGACTCAAGGCCGAGGGACTGACCACACTGACTCAAGGCCGAGGGACTGACCACACTGACTCAAGGCCGAGGGACTGACCACACTGACTCAAGGCCGAGGGACTGACCACACTGACTCAAGGCCGAGGGACTGACCACACTGACTCAAGGCCGAGGGACTGACCACACTGACTCAAGGCC